AGAATTGGTTAGCTGTTGAGAAACTTGCGTATTTAGGTTTCTGTGTAACATTAGTTAATGAAATGTAATTTTAAAAATGTTATGAAATGCTGGAATGTGTTTTTCTATGCTTCTCTATAATTAATAAGCTTGATAAGTCTTTTTCTCCAGAATTATTAACGTATTACCTATGTTTAGTTTGTGTAAAACACACAGGAGTTCATGTGAATGTTTTGAGTTCTTTTGGGCTTTATTAGCCAGATGTATTGAAGAAGAGGGAGAGTTTGAGGTTAAGTTCTTGGTGAAAGATAGTGGAAGGCATGGAATGAACTCGAGCTACTTGAAAATTCACTAAAAAGCAATAACTAAAACTGTTGTCACTCTTTGCTTTTGAGTAGAAATACATTAGTACAGCAATGCAATGTCAAATGCCTGTGCTTTAAGATTCCTTAATAATGTGCACTTGCAAATCTCTAACTTCACCAAGTGTTTTCTGCAATAAAAACAGAGGGTAACTGGATCTCAACCTGCCAAAGATTAAAACTAGACCCTTATCTCTCACCATGCACTAAACTGAAATCAAAGTGGGTTAAAGATCTAAATATTAAAAAAGAAACACGAAACTTGCTGGAAGATAAGTTAGGCAGAACTCTTGAAGACATTGGCATAGGAAAAGACTTTATGAACAAATCCTCAGTAGCACGGGAACTAACAGAAAGAATGAACAACTAGGATCTCACCTTATTAAAAAGCTTCCGCACTATAAAAGAACCCATCAACAGAACTAAGAGACAACCTACAATGTGGGAAAAAATTTTTACCAGCTGCTCCTCAGACAAAGGACTATTATCTAGAATATATAAAAAACTCAAAACAGCCAGCTCCCCCCCAAATATAAAGACCCAAATCAAAAATGGACATCTGAAATGAACAGACATTTCTCAGACAAAGTAAAAGCAGCAAGTAAATATATGATAAAATGTTCCACATCACTGGTCATTCAAGAGATGCAGATGAAAACAGCACTGAGATTCCATCTCACCCCACAAAGAATGGCTGCTATCAAGAAATCACACCATAACAAATGTTGGCGGGGTTGTGGGGAGAAAGGAACCCTTCTCCATTGTTGGTGGGAGTGCAGACTGGTGCAATCACTATTGAAATCAATATGGAGATACCTCAAAGAGCTGGGACTAGAGGTTCCATTTGACCCAGCCTTCCCTCTGCTGGGTATCTTTCCAAAAGAATTAAAAGAATCATACCACAGTGATCTATGTGCACCAATGTTTACAGCGGCACAGTTTGTAATAGCTAAAACTTGGAAACAGCCCATTTGCCCATCAGTTGGAAACTGGATAAAGAAGATGTGGGTTTTCTATAAAATGGAATTCTACTCAGCCATAAAGAATGAGAAATTAGAGTCATTCATAGGAAAATGGATACATATTGAGGATATACTCTTAAGTAAATACTGAATAGTTTCTCTGGTGTGAAAAACTATAATAGTATACAAGTTCCTAATGGGATAATTAATAGTGTGAAGTAGGAAGAAAAGGGGTAAAGGTGTAGGGAAAGTGGGAAGGGTAGGGGAAAGGGAATAAGGAAAAAGAAAAAAATATAAGAAAATGAAAAATGGAAATAAAGTGTAAATAGGGAGGGGAGGAGGGGGTGAAGGGAGGGCAGGGACAAGGGGAAAAAAATGAGAACTAAGACCTATCATGTAAAGGTACAAGATCCCAGTAATGAATGTAACCGTATTGTATACCTAGATTGTATCAATAAACTCAATAAAAAGGAAAAAAACAAAACAAAACAAAACAGAGGGTATGTGTACTTAAAGCCTATAGTCAATGTGTAGAGTGCTCCAGTTTCTCTACTGAAATCATAGGTCACACAGTATTATTTGCAGCTAGGACAGTACTTGTGGGAAGCCTTAGAATTCATTAGGTTGATGTATCTTGATTTGCTTATGTACCTAGGAGCATTGCATTAGCAAATGGAACCTCCATTGTAAGCTCCTGGGGAAACTTTTATTTCAACTTTCCAAAATTTGCTGTGCAGGTTTACATGGTTTTTTTTTTTTTTTGGCGTAGAGAAACTCACACAGTGTCTCTGGTTCATATTTAACAATAAGTTCTGAGGAGAATCTTGGCTAGAAGCACACTCAATCTTCTGTTAAAGATATCTGCTCTGCCTGAACAGCTTCTTCATCCTTAACTGTCTCTGCAGGGAGCAGAGAAGGGGATCTCAGAAGGCCAACACTGTAACAGTTCCCCAGAAAGCTTTTGGTAGAAAAATCTGTATTCACTTGGATTAATAAAACTAACATCACTACTGTATTACTTTACAAACATGCATTTATTTGATTGAAATGATGGTGCACTTTTAAAGTCCAAGTAAAGAGAGTAAAAACATGACCAAACACTCTGCAATTTATAAATTTATAAGGGACTTCTAAAAACAAAATTTCAGAGGTGTGCGTGCACATGTGCGTGTGTACATGCGTGTGCAGGTGCATGTGTTTTAAGCACTATGAAGTAACCCTAACGAATATTATTGTCTCCATTTTCAAAGTTGAGAGAGATAAGTCTGGGTTCTAGGCAGAATCATTTTCCCACTGTCACCTGGCAGAGCAGAGCTAGGTCTAGACCCAGTCACTAGGTTTGGTAGTTCATTACATTGTTCACTTTGTTATCTTCAGATGCCTTCCTCAGAAGCCTGAAGACCCATTTCTTTTTAGAATCTGTTTACCTCGGTGTCTCCACACGGCACCTGGGGTGGGATGGAGGCAGTAATGCTGGAACCGGTGTGACTCACGGAAGGCTGAGGCCCTTGGAAGCACAGCGATGACTTCTTCGTCCCTTGCTGACTCCCCACTGTGTGAGCTACTTTATTGCTCCCCTGGGGTTTTGCCTGCCCCTTGAAAGTTCTTCCCCACCAGCCTTCCTGCAGCTGCCTTCTGCACACCACTGGTCCTGATATTAAGGCCATACAGTATTTGGCTCAGTTATCTTGGAGCAAGTAATTGTTTACTTTTCTCTTAGACAAGACAGTGAATGTCAAAATCTACTTCCTATATTGATGTTAGTCACAGTAGACCAGCGACTTAAGTGGACCCCTGCTCCTAGATTTCCTTTATCCTCCAGATTATACCAAATCACAAGCATTTCTTCATGCTTATGAATAACTTTTGAAAATGTTTTTCATGATTCTGCAGCATTCCATTGCTTGAATTCTCAAATTTATTTAAGTGTTGGATATTTAGGTTAATTTCTAGTTTTAGTTGAGATAGAAAAAAAAACATGAGAAGGGAGCTGTTAACTACTTGAAGAGACACAGTCTGATTTAAATGGTTGACCTTGGTCATTGATTTGTCAGCACATATAATAGTCATTTTAATCAGATAAATACATGTTTTTAAGTAATGAAAATTAGTTTTCTTCCCAAATGGGGAAAATGAGTTAAGAAAAGGCCCATGAAAGACTTCAGTTTCACAATTGTCATAAATATTCTGGCCATACTATATAATGATTTATGCAGTGGTACTTGGCAGTATTTTTAGTGTAAGTTGATACATAAATGTATACATTTGAAAATCTAAGCTCAGTTATAAACAATCATTTCTCTGTGGAGGTCATTGTTTCATAGACTAGCTTGTATATTTTTGGAGCAGAACACTCCTTAAACATTTGAGCTCGACATCTTTTTGTTGTGTAGAAAGGACTCACTAATGGTGAGCAAAGTAGTAGAAATTGAGGAGCCAACTTTTGGGTTTCTTAGTTTTATTTGCTGAAACTAAAATGGTCCCTCAGTATCTGTAGGGACTGATTCCAGGACTCCCCACAGATAACCAAAATCTGTTGATGCTTAAGTATTTTCTATAAAATGTTATAATATTTACATATAACCTATGCACATCCTCTTGTGTACTTGAAATCATCTCTCCTTATTATACCTAATAAAATCTAAAATGTTATATAACTAGCTACTATAATGTTTTTAAGGAATAATGACAAGAAAAAAGGCTGTGCATGTTTGGTACAGACCCAGCCATCATAGGCCTACCATGTCAGCAGCAACACAGCATTTTTTTCTCAAATATTTTCAATCAGAGCGAGGGTCTGTCTGCAGATGTGGAACCTGGAACCACAGAGGTCTACTATGTGTCCATTAACTTCCTGTGGGCATATGAGGCTGGATCTGTGGGTAAGAGGAAGTGTCGGAGGCCTCCTTGACTCTAGCATTCCTTCTCTTACGTTCGTAGACTCATGTCCCACTCACTGCCCACATCTGAACCGCACAGCAACCAATGAGTAGAAAAAGGTTTTACTTGGTGTCCTCTTCTTTCTCCCATTGGGTTCCTTTTTTAAAACTCAATTTCTGTTTTCTCTCAGTGACCAGGGCCTTCTTTCTACTCAAATCTCCTCAACATGTCTTTCACCAAGGTCTCTGTGTTTAGAGGTCTCATTCTCCTAAATTGTCTTTGTCGCCCTGGTCAGCAGGAAGTCACCTGAGTGTCTTAAGCCTGACATTATCTTAAGCTTTTTAACATGTTCCTAGATAGATCGCTGCCTTAATCTTATGTTGATTCTGTTGGAGTAACTCAGTACCAGTGTCACAGAATTCTATTTTACTTTTGGGCAAACTTTGAGGGAGAGAACTGTTACATAAAAATGAAATCAGGAAGTCATATAAATAAACATATTCAAACAAGGCTACTGCCATGAGTGCAAAAAGAGTTTTTCCTTTTCTCAATCTATGGTGGATAAATGGTGTGAGCAAATGGGAATTTGAGTTGAATAAACTCTTAGGATGAAGTCATACATAATTAATTGTCAGTCTCTGCATTCTTTCCAAAGTGATGGCTCTTAGTCTTTGCACTTATGATAACTTACATTTCCTGCATACAAGAACCCCAGAACATCCCATTAAGGAAGAGGCAGAGGTGGCTCTGTTATGTAACTTTTGCGCTATTATGATGGGGTGGGTAATTGTCTGTCTTTTTTCTTCTCAACTTCTAGTGCCTGAAACAGTATATGCAGCTGGCAATCCGAGAAGGATGTGGGTCACCCATCACCTGCCCTGACATGGTGTGCCTAAACCACGGGACCTTGCAGGAAGCCGAGGTATGGTTGTGTGCCACGGTCTTTTCTTTCCTGTCAACATTATTTATTAGGATCTTGACTCCTTATACACCTCCCTACTAGAGAATCTAGCAGCAAATTATGAGGTTAACTTCTTCAAGGAGCACTGGGTTGCTACATACCATTGGATTCTTTTTACAGATTGTTAAAGCTGTCATTTACCTCAGCTATATTTATATATACCATCTTGCAAGATGCAGAAGCTCTAAAATAGGCAAAGACACTAGAAATCAAATTAACCAAATGTCAGGTTTTAAGGCTGAAAATAAAAGGTCTTGTGATCTTGCAAACTTGCAAGATAAATAGATCATTTATTAGCCATTATGGAATTAGCCATTATGGAACATATAATCTACTGTGATTCTACAAAGATAGTCTGATTTGAACCATTTCCACAGAATAAAGAGAGGCGTTTCTATTGGTCAAGCACCAATAGTGTCTTTCTTTTTTTGAGTGAGTTCTCCCATATTCTTAAGACTGTGATTTTACTCATTCTTTTGTTTGTTCAACTGGTATGCCCTTAAATCTGACTTTTAATGATTAGTACTTGTTAACTTTAAATCAGAATACAATGAATTCTTGTCTAACTCCTAGGGAGTTTGTAAGTTTCTGGAGGGAGTCCCAAGAAACAGATGAAATAGTTGTCTATTCAGTAAACATAGAGCACCTGCTTTGAACCAAGCATTCTTTGGTTGCTTTCATGGACAGCATTCACTCTTACCTTCTCAACAAACCAAATAAAGTTGAGCATTTATATTCAGATAGGGAACTGAGGCCCAGAAGATCTAAGTAACTTTCTCAGACATGCGTGTCTAGAAAGTAGAAGAGGAACCAGAATTCTAATCCAGTTCTTTCTGGCCACCATATTTATTGTCTTTAAGTGTAGAACTAGGTATATAGATAGAATGTGTAACAAAAGAGTTGGTCATCAAAATCTGAATAGTGTGTGGGGTCTGTAGCAATAAATGTGTATAGATACGTGTGGATGTGTGTATGCATTTGTGTGTGTGTGTATATGTTTTGCTTATTAATTTATGTGCTTTTACATGTGCATCATTTATAAGCAAAATAGATACTGTAGATGATTTCTAACATGACATAGTGGTTATCTGTGTTTAGTTTATGAAATATCAGCTGAAGGCTACATGAATTCAAAGTGTTTTTTTAGGGGAGCATAAAATTCAGAATACATAATGATTTAGAAATGATTTAAGGAAATAAAGAAATCTAGTTTTTTAAATAAAAAAGTAATATGTAAATCTTGCTATTTACTTTCACATGGAGGATGGGTGGAAGGAAATTAAATGGGGGAAGATTAAGGCTAGCTACCAGAAACATGGTTGAATTGTGTAGCTTAGAACTGTGCTTAAAAGAAACTCAACTGCCTGGGAGCATCATTTTATGCATGATCTCTTCTAAAGACAGAAGCTCCCTTTTTGCCTTGTTTCTTTGGTGTCCAACTGCTCACAAGTGTTAATAGAGAGTGTGTGGTGTGAGGCCCTGTTCTGGGATGGGATTGAGCAGAAGATAAGGCAGTCGCAATGCTATCCTGATAGTTCCTGATTTAGCAGGCAGTCAATGAACAATGGCTTAGATCATTATAAAAATGAAACTCAAGAGAAGGGGCAGGCAAAAGGGCTGGGTCTGGTATAAGATCTTATTTAAATCTGGATGTATAATCTACTAAATGTAAATGAGTTGCTTGATGATGCTTCAAAATAAGCCTATGAAATTCATCAGAGTTTTGTCTTTTTTTGTTTTGTTTTGCTTTTTGTGTTTGAGACAGAGTTTCACTATGTAGTTGAGACTGACCTGGAACTCACTATGTTCAGCCCAGACTGGTCTTGAACTCACAGCGATCCTCCTGCCTCAGCCTCTCGAGTGCTGGGATTACAGGTGTGCACCACCACACCCAGCCAGAGTTTTGTCTTGTAGTCCTGTGCTTTCCAATCCAGTAGTCACTGACCACATGTGGATATTTAATTTTAGATTGATTAAAATATAATAAAATTGAAAGCTGGGTGTGGTGCCACATGCCTATAATTTCCAGCCCCCTGGTCAGGAGGATCACAAGTTTAAGCCCAGCCTTAGCTACTAAATGAGGTGCTATTTCAAAATTTAAAAAAACATTTTTTTGAAGGACTGAAGCCTGGGTTCATTCCCTAGTGCCAAGGAAAAAAAATCAGTTTTTCAGTTGTGCTAGTCAGTAATAGTTTTTAAGTGTTGAAGACCCATGTGTGGCTAATGGCTCCATGATTGGACAGCAGAGAATATAGTAGTCCGATCATTGCAGAAAGCTTAGTTGCAAGGTGCTGTGTCCTGGACTTTTCAGTAAATAGTAACCATAAACTATTGGTGCTTTGAATGTTGAGTGTTAGGGCGAACATGTCCAGACAAGTGGGTAAAGCCACACCATAGTGTCTTACAGTTCTCTAGAACATGGGTTAACTTTTCTGACTTTGTATAGACATTTTCTCTTAGTTCTCCTTATCCTTTTCCCACTGTCTTCATTCATATTCACCATTTCCTGCTTCTAGTTCTGTCGATTCAGTTTTACTCTGAAAGCAATTCCATTTTCAGGCTACATTAAAACCTAACAAACCCATGATGGCTCAAATAATTACAAAAGCCTACTTGAAAAAAACAGGACAAAACTGTATTCCAAACTAAACTAATTTAAATTTTCTGAAGTCTTTCTCATTAGGTGAGAATAAGACACTCCAGGGCATTACTGAGCCATTTCTGTCCTCGTGGGTCTTGCTGAGAGCCTAGCCCGGGATGGGCATTAATGCACAATACTCCCGTGTTCTTCACCAACTTGCTACTTTTTTTTTCTTCTTCAGAACAGTAACACAGTGTGGTGAGCACTGAATAGAGGATAGTGGAGATCTGAATAGCTCTATCAGTTTATGTGGCCCATCTCCTCTGAAAGTAAATACCACACACATGACAATGCCACACACGGGTGAACTGGGTGGTACCGCCTTCCTTTCTAACTTGCTTTGCATTAGGCTTTCATCATACATAGTCATTAAGACAATGTGGCTCATCCTCTGTGTATTTTTGAGTATATCATAATGGGCCTCATTCATTCATGTAAGGCTTGACTGGATTCCACCTCTGTGATTACTCCCTTCCCCTTAAAAAATGTTTAATTATGCAGGTCACACACACTTGTTAAAAATAATTCTGGTTAAAGCTAGTTCCTTTTGTCCTGTTCTGTTTCTATTCTGATTTTTAAAAATCACTCATTGTCTTATAAAATGCATGTAAATATAACATTTCTTCACCCTCAAAAGACTGTAGGAGTAGAAGCTTTTTCCTCTGCATGCTTTCCTGTGGAGATGTAGCTCACACAGTTGGCTCTTTCTGTGCCTGCCTTCTTGGTTCCTCCAAATTTGCTCAGTTGTGGTGTTGCTGCCTCACCTTTGTCTATCAGGGACAGCCTCGTTAGCAAAGCATTCAGTGCCCAGTTCAAGCCCTGTTTGCTTGTGCAGGAAACAGTAGGAAATGGCAGCCTTGCTTTCAGTGGCCTGGAAGCTGGTCAGAGGTAGCAACTCAGGGAGGATTTGGGGCTAGAGGTGAACCTGCTGTGAGCCAGGGGAAGTCAGACTTTTCCTTCATTGCCTCATCCTGTACTTTCAGCTGTTGCTCTGCAGGGCTTTTCCAGTATACCTGATCCAGGAACCTTGTCCAACATGCAGTTCTGAAGCAGGACACAGATTGTTGTTCTGTTAGTATTACTTCAAGCAAATCCCTTGCTTGGAGTTAGTAGTCCTGTTTTAAAAAAAGGCACTATTTAATGTAAGCAGTTCCCTTCTAGTGCTCTGGAAGTATCATCTCTCACTTGCTGGCAGTCCTCAACCACATGCCCTGGCTATGTCAGATGAGAGCGGTGCATGCATAACCATCTGAATAGTACCTGCCATTACACAACCCGAGAAATTGAACTTCTTCCAAGTGCCAGCTGGCAGCCAAGGGCAGAGAAGAGCTTCTCACCCAACAGTCTTCCTTCCAAGTCCTGGGGCACTGAGACAACCAGCTTGCCTTTTACTTCCAGTGTCACAGCATGCATTGGAGAAGGGTGGTGCAGCTGCTCTTGCCAAGAATGGAGGCTCAGGGTTTCTATAGGAAGGGGTTTAGAATATGACATTCTGTGGGCCAGGGATTTAGCTCAGTGGTGCCACCGCCTGCCTCACAAACACAAGGACCCGAGTTCGATCCCTGGTACCAAAAAAGAGATAGAGAGAATATGACATTCTGGAAGCCTAGGGGAGAGGTGGTAATGGAGTGCTAAGGGATTTGTAGCTCTATTGGCAAATTAAGTACATTTTTTCTTTTTAAAATTTTTATTTACTTAGGATAGCTTTGGGAAAAGCTGCTGGAGTTGTAGGATCCAAGTGTTCTCCACAAATCACCCCTTAGCACTGCCTGCACTTTCTGTCTCTTCTCTTGATACTCTTCCTTCTCATTATCATGGTGAGAAGCAGGGGCAGAAAGAGGTGAGGATGGCTCAGCAATTGAGACCATTCCCGTCACTGTGGCTTAAATTTCTGACTACAGGAAGGGACCCATAAAGGTAAAATGACCTTTACAATGTGCTGTGATGGGCATTGGCTGGAGGAAAATTAAACTTTGGGGATGGCCAGAGATAGAGGAATCTGCCAAACTAGTGTACAGATGTTTTTAAGGTTCTCACTGAATTTTGTTGTAGAAATGATTTAAAACTTCATTTTGAGATGTATATGAAACTACATATAAGTGGAAAATAAAGTTTCTAAGGTTATTCTATAACTAACAGCAAATACTGTGTAAAACAATGAAACAGCCATCAGTTGCGTGCGTCATAGGGATGTACACACTCGAGTGTCCCTGCTGCCCATAGATAGGTGGAGGTTAGAGAGGCTTGGGAAGGTGATCTTGCTTCTGTGGGGTTTCTGGAGACACATGGACCAAAAACAGGCATTGTGGCCCTGCTGGGGACCGTGAAGGCCCTTGGGCTGAAATCTCCTTCCTCCCATCTTTCACTCTCCCTGTAGGCCCTGCCTTCTGCCTCTTCATGGTGCTCTCTTATTTTCTCCAATCTGGATTTGATCCCTAATACTTATATGAGGAAACTTGAGCTCAGTTGTTTCGCTCAGATGAACTGGTACATATACTGTTTTTCTTCCTTTTTTAGGAGGGAGAGTTTTTATTTTCTGGGTTGAGATAGAAATATAATCTGGGTTTCTGAAATAGTGTGATTAGACATTGATTTATAATTAAACTACTACTTATTCTGCCTTTATTTTCACAAGTTATATCACCTCAAACATTGACCAAACCTTGACAGGTCATAATGTCTTCTAGTGATGAATTACCTCTCATTTGTGGTAGTCTGTGTTTAATCTATTTCTTTAATTTTTTTTTTTGGTACCGAGGATTGAACTCAGGTCCTTGCACTTGTGAGGCAGGTAGTGGAACCACTGAGCTAAATCCCTGACCCTATTTCTTTAATTTTAAAAACAACTAAAACAGAAGCATGATTTAAAGAGCTAACCCTAAGTATCTCAGCTTCTTTCCCCTTGTCCTGACTCTGATGGGCAGCACTGCCTGGAGGTCTATCCCTAGCTCTATTTTCACAATTTCATTTTCTTAATTGAGAATTAGTGTCCTCAGTAAAAAGCAATATGCAGTTGGAAACTGGATAAAGAAGATGTGGTTTTTCTATAAAATGGAATGTTACTCAGCCGTAAAGAATGAGAAAATAGAACGATTCATAGGAAAATGGATACATATTGAAGATATACTCCTAAGTGAAATAAATAAGGCACACATGTGTAAATACCGAATAGTTTCTCTGGTGTGAATAATCTGCAATAATACAGAAGATCCTAATAAGATTACTTACATTGAGAAATGGGAAGAAAGGAGCTAAAGGTGTAGGGAAGGTGGGATGGGTAAGGGAAGGGTAATAAGGGAAAAGAAAAAAATGTGAGGTAATGAAAAGATGGAAATAAAATGTTTATAGATGGGGAGGGGAGGAGGGGGGTGAAGGGAGGGCAGGGGTAAGGGGAAAAAATGAGAGCCAAGACTTGTCGTGTAGAGGTACAAGATCCCAACAATGAATGTAACTGTACCGTATCCCTAAAATGTACCAATAAACTCAATGAAAGCTGAAAAAAGAAGCAATATGCATTGTATTTATCAGCGTTTCTTATAGGATCACAAACCATTTCAACAAATGCTTTTGAGGTAAACAGCATCTACTGCTCTCTCTGTCTAGCTCTCCTTTCTTTTCATGTGTTAGTATTAATGTAGTTGGTGATATCTATTCAAACATGTTCAAGTTAATATTGATAAAGAAGGGTACGCCTCATGTTTTATTTCTTCTCAGTTATGCATCTTAGAGATACCCAATTAACCACTCTATCTAACTCTTACAGTACCTCCACGTGTAGGCAAACTCTCTTTGCCAGTTACGTTTGGCTGCAAGCAGAATAAAAAAACAGACTTTCTGCAGGATAGAAACTGGTTATTTCAAAGTATTCTAAGGTTGACTTTTATTGTTGTTTTTGTACTATTAAATGAATCTGAGGTCATTTTTTTAATTAAAGTTTTTTTCTCCTTGAAAAGAATTTTTAGAGCGATGAGGGAGAAAGGTAATCTTTGGTGCTTGAGTAGAAGAAGGAGATAAATTTCTGTTTAACAGGTAAATTAGTACAAATTTCAAGGAAGAAATAGCAAAAAGTAACCTTAAATTATGGACTTTTTAGTAATTGATCAGAGTAGTGGTCCCATAGCTCAGAAGATAATTAGTACGTAGAAAGTAGCAAATTTGCTCCTACTGCTCAGATACGGATATGGTTACCAAGAGACTAGAATTCACTGAGTAAAAGAAGCATCAGTAGTCTGTCTACTTGCTTAAGCCATAAAATGAATAAGCAAATAAGTGGAGAAGGGATGGCTGGCTCTTCCTATAGTAGAATTCTTACTTATTTATATTTAATTTTAAGTTTAATTTTAATTGATACATAAAAACAAAATTCTATGTGTTAATGGAGCATCATATAATGATCAATACGTGTATATATTGTGTGCTGTTTACATCAAGTTAAACATCTATCTCCTCAAACATTAATAATTTCTTTAATGATGAAAGCATGCACGTACCTTTCTTCTAGCTTTTTAAATTGTACAGTATGTTATTGTTTTCTCTAACCACCCTACTGTGCAATAGCACACTAGAATTTCCTTCTCTGGTCTAACTTGACAGAACTCTGATCACCAAATAGACAATGAGAGATAGAAATAGAAAATCGTCATTAAGCGAATACCGCAGTACTATTTGAGGGAAGAATTGTTTAGCAGGAACTAAAATTAGGGGGCAATGCATGATGTACAATGAGAAACAGAATTTTCAAACTCTTAATGTATCCCCCTGTAGTGAATTATTATCATTTTATGTTTCCTCAGCATTTGTTTTGAATACAAGTTGGGCTTTGTCATACCAGAAACAGCACTTAGTCACCCTTGATATAGTTTCTAGTTCTACACTTCCTCCTAGTTCCTCAGTATGGTCAATCTAGAAATGTCCTTTATAGAACTTCTTCCTGATGACTATTTTCCTATGGGTCAGCTAGATACAGTCTACTTGAATGACCTTACTGACCCCCACATCCCACATTCTGTGTTAACCTTTTTAATGTCTGAAGGCTAATATCAAATCCATTTATTTTCTCAGTTATCAATCCTTTAAGCAATGTCAGTGTACTTATATCTTGATGTCAAGGGAATTAATATTTTTAGAATACCAGCGGAAGAGCAGTTAGCTTTTCCTGCATCTGCCCTTGAAATATAATTTAGAACAATTAATCTAAGATGTCACTCACTAAAGTATGAATCGGTCTTGTTTCCTAGTAAACTTTTGGTTCATTTCACCACGTAAAATGGGAAAGTGAGAGTCTGGTCACGGGCAATGTTTTAGGTTTTTCTTTTCTGTCAGGGTCTCAGATGTCAGTGTGTGACAGCTGAGACCTCCATGAAGTGATTTGTCAGAAGATGTTTTATATTGTTTAGAAGTTACTATTTCCTAAGTAACAAATGAAATTTTCATAATTCCTGAGGCACCGTCTACTTGACTAGCTTTTAAGGGTCCAAAGCTAGAAGTATAGTCTTTAAATTTTTTTAAATGAATATAGAAAAAAAAAAGAATGTCTTTAATGTGTGCACATACTTGGGAAGTCTAAATAATAAAATTTGGTTATCTGGTCTGGGCAACTGCTGCTCACAGAGTGGAGGGGAATCCAAATTAAGAATGGGAAAGGTCTGAGAATTGTTGCAGTGGACAGTGGACAGAAAAAGAAGTTTACAAATAACTGGTAGAAGGAGAATATAGTTAGCAAAGCCAGAAGAGAAATCCTAAAGGGCCTTATGCCTGAAATCTCATCTCTCTAATGTCTCTGGTTTCAGATTGCCTGTTTGGTACCTGTGGATCAGTTTCAGCTTTATCAGCGGTTAAAATTTGAGCGAGGTATGCATTCTTCTTTTTATCTTCGTGGTGAGTGTGGTTTTACATATGTCATCTTTATGCTAACTGGCATGGAGGATTAAGGCAGCAGTGGGCTGTTGGAAAAGCTGCAAGGGGACTACGAAAGGGAAAACCGTAATTGCCACATTAAAATTTCAACTCTCAGCCGCCGTTGGGGGGAAAATGCAGACTGCTAGAAGGAAATAGATTTTTCTCATGTTGGTTGTTTTGTATTTTTAATTTGGCTTATGTTAAAAAGGTTCTGCAAAAGTTAAATGGTTTCATTACCATAGTACAAAACAAAATAACTCTTAAAATGGATGTTATCACTAGTTTTCCCACTCTTAAAAATCACTTCAAATATTAATCATCCCAAACATTTTTATTGTTCTTTATAACATTCACTGATTATTCTTTGATACTATTTTTGTCATCATAGTGATGGCTATTTGTTCGTGTTATCATTCAGTGTGATTTACAATGTTTTGGACTAATTTTCTTTGGGAATTTGGGTTTGGGGTAGCTTTTCTACTTATACTCACTACTTATCTGTAGGAATTATATACTTTTTTACTCTTTTGGCATCTGGTAGGTCTTTTTTTTTTTTTTGAGGAGCCTATTCCCTTGTGCCAAACTCTAAATTAATCTTGAACTAAGTGGTGTATTTTTTCTATCTGCAAAATTAGAAAAAAACTGTTTCTTTCAGCATTCATAGGACTGATATAAGTCTCACTGAGCATATAATATCCCTGATCTAACATGCGCATGAAGTTTTCTGAGTGCTAGTTTTTTAATCTGAATAAAGTCCAGAGATGAGAGAAATGAACATTTATCATGTACAGTAGGTTTGATAGGCATAATTACCTTTATCTCACTTAACTTTTGGAACTCCTCTGATAGAAAATTTTTGCAGGAAAAAGAGAAAATAAAGTGATAAAGAATATTGAGAGGGGCATCAAAGAAATACTTGCAAAAAAAATCATTGGATAACATTTGCTACCTTGGTCTAAGACCTAGCTCAGTCTAATGGACTAAGAACACTAATTTTGTTTGTTTGTTTTTTTAGCAAATCAATAGCAGATGCACCTGTCATGGGTAGATCACTCAAACTCATAAGGTAGATTCATTCAGCTGAACTTCCCAAAAAAAATTGAACTTTGAATTTTAATTTTTTTACTCCTTCAGACAAATGAGAGGTACAGTTTTACTCAAAAGATCATCCCGATGAGGAGCCAGGAAATAGAATATTGTTGAATGTGGAAGCAGAACTATGAGAGTCAGATGAATTGTGGGCTTATAGGATGCAAAGATAGCTTGATGCATCTGTCCTGTGTGAATTCTGAGCGAACTAGAGAAATTAATGACGAGGATGTTTGTATTGGCTGTCTATAACCCACCCACATGGGCTGATTAGATTGAGCACTGTAGCCCTGCCCGTATATTTATTTATTGGATGTGACAGACAAAGATAAAGACATTTGCTCTGCCATTCACTATTCTCTCATTTTATCCAATATCCTCCTTTATAAAAATCAGTTATAACTGGAACACAGACATTCCAAATTTTTGCTCTGTGGATGACTGTCTTATAACAAGTCACAGGATTTCAGGGTTCCAACCTGAAGAGTGTCTGAAGAGTTGGGTTGGATTCTCAGGCTGCTCATTAATTACTGGGATATAATCTATCAACTTCATAAGACTCCCTAGCAACCATGGCTTAGTGTGTTTATAATGTTTCTCCCCTCTCTCATGAATACTACCTCCTCCCCAACAATTCCACTGCTCCATTGTTTACAGTTTAGGGAGCTATTTATGAACTCAAATGCCTTTTTGTAATTGACAACTTTTAATACTATTAGGAATTAATACTTATTGTGGGCTGGTTCTCAATGATGAACATAAAATTTGGGTTGATTTTTAAATGAGCGGCTAATAGTCATAGAAAAACAATGACAGTCCAGATTCAAAGCTAGTACAAGGAAAAAAATTATAAATATCAGAGCAGAAATTAATGAAATTGAGACTCAAAAAACAATAGAATCAATGTGTTGAAGAACTGGTTCTTTTTTTTTATTTTTCTTTTCAGCTTTGAGTTTATTGGTACATTTTAGGGATACAGTACAGTTACATTCATTGTTGGGATCTTGTACCTCTACATGACAAGTCTTGATTCTCATTTTTTCCCTTTACCCCTGCCCTCCCCCCACCCCCTCCTCCTGAAGAACTGGTTCTTTAAAAGAAAAAACAAAATAAAAAGATCCCCTAGTCTATCTTACCCCCCAAAAGGAAAGAAAAGACCCAAATTTGTGCAATTAGAAATGAAAAAGGCAGGGGCTGGGGATTTAGTTCAGTGGTTCCACTGCCTACCTTGCAAGCTCAAGGACTCAACTTCCATCCCCGGTACCAACAAAACAAAACAAACAAAACAAAAAAAAGGCAAAGTCAAAATGGACACCTTCAATATGCAGAATACTATTACTAATCTTTGAGAGCTCGTACTCTAATATATTGGAGAATTCAAAAGAAATGGATAGGTTGCTAGATACATATGAACTATCAAAACTGAACCAAAAAGAAAAACTCAAAACAATCCAATAACAGGAAATGAAATTGAAGAAGTAATTTAAAAAAATACTGTCAACTAAGAGAAGTCCAGATTCTGATGGATTCAGTGCCAAATTCTATAAGAACTTTGTGGAAGATCTGATGCCAGTACTCCTCAAACTCTTTAATGAAATTGGAAGGGAAGGGGTACTCCCAAAGACATTCCTGGAAGTAGAAGCTAGTGTTACCCTGATTCCAAAATCAGAAAGAGATCCAACCAAAAAAGAAAACTTTAATGAATGTAGATACAAAAATCCTAAACAAGACACTGGTAAATAATGCAAAAAATAATAAAAAAGATCATATGTCATGACCAAGTAGGCTTCATCCCAGGGATGCAGGGGTGGGTCAACATATACAAATAAATAAATGTAATCCATCACATAAAGCAATAAAAAAAAAATCACTCAGTCATATCAATAGATGCAGAAAAAGCCTGTCACAAAATTCAGCCTCCATTCATGACTTTAAAAAACCTGAAGAAAATAGATATATGAGGACCATATCTCAATCTGACAAAAGCTATCTGGAACAGACATGCTGCCAGTTTCATATTAAATTGGGGGAAACTGAAAGATTTCCCTCTAAAATCAGGAGCAAGACAAGGAGGTCCACTATCGTCCTCCTGTTCAATATAGTTCTCAAAATGTTAGCCAGAGCAAAAGAAGCAAAAGGAATATGTATAGGAAGGGAAGAAGCTAGATTATCATTTGCAGATGATATAATCCTTTGCACTGAAGACCAAAAATTGCACCAAAAGACTCAAAGAATTAATGATCAAAGTCAGTAGCATAGCTGGATACAAAATCAACACACAAAAATCAATAACATTCTGGTACATCAACAATAAACTCACTGAGAAAGAATTTAAGAAATCAGTAATATTCACAATAGCATCGACAAAAATTAAATGCTTAGGAATTAATATAACCAAGGAAGTGAAAGGTCAAATAGTTTTATTTATACAGAAGATTTATTTTTTCCCATTATAAGTTCTAGTCAGGTGCTTACTCTAGGTCTCGTGCATTGATAGTTGATTTTGTTCTTTTTTAGAGATGCAGAAATGGAAGCTTGGACAGGTTGAGATTCACCTAGGATTACACAAACGAAAGCTTCTCATCTATACAAGTTTCAAAATTATGTACATTTTATTGTATTAAAATATATAACATAAAAGCTGCCCTTTCAGACCTTTTTAACCACTGGCACCCCTCTGCTCCTAAAACCATTTCATAGCCTCAACAGAAACTGTAACCATCAGGCAGTAACTTCCCACTTTTCCTTTCCCTAGTCTTGGCAATCTCTGATCCGTCTTCTGCCTCTGTGAATTTACCTATTCTAGATATTTCATGTAAGTGGAGTCATACAATACTTGTTCATTTGCATTTCTCCTTATTTTACTTAGTATACTGTTTACTAGACTCATGTTGTACTACGTATCAAGACTTCTTTTTCATTGCTAAACAATGTTGTATTGTCTTTTTGTTGTTGTTGTTGTTGTTTTTGGTACCGGGGATTGAACTTGGGTCCTTGCGCTTGCAAGGCAGGCCACCGAACGAACGGCTGAGCTAAATCCCCAGCCCTTGTATTGTCTTTTCACATGCATTTTGTTTATCCTTTCATCCATTGATGGAAACTTGAATTATTTCCACCTTTTGACTATTGTGAATCCTGCTGCTATGAAAATTAGTGTATGAGTGTCTGTTTATATTTCTGATTTTAACTCTTTTGGGTATTACCTAGCAGTGGAATTGCTGGTTCCTTTGGAAATTCTATGTTTAGTTTTTGAGGGACCGCCAAAATGTAAAACCCTATAATTTAGTTATATTTAATTAGACATTTTACTATTGTACAGTATTAAAGTATTACGTTAAATTTGGTAGCCATCTGGTTCAATCCCTGGTTTTATTAAAAAGGAAACCTTTTGATCTTAGATAATTCTGGACAACAATTTGTAATCACGTTATTCATTATCATTTTCATAAAATAGAAATGCTTAAGTTAAGAATTCATAATGGAATTTACTTGATTAAGATAATTTATCTGTACTGCATCCTTCATTTTTACATAATAGACTTCCAGTCTACCTCAAACTCAAGACCTTTACCAGCTACGTGACTTTGAAGTCTAAGTCATGGAAATCTCTTATACAAACTGTTTATAAGGGGATCTTTGGATGTACTGCATACTCACTGATATCATTAATGGATTACAGTCCCATTGCTTGGCCTATAAGACAGAATTGTAGATCCTATTGTTGCTCTGGAGAACTATAGAGTCAGATAAAGTCCTGTTTCTTGGTTATAAAAGTAATTCTTAGCCAGGTGTTTTGGCACACACTTGTAATCTCAGGAGGATGACTCAGAAGGATCACAAGTTCTAGGCCAGACTGGATAACT